TTTTAGATCTGAAGAATATTTTTTTTCTATTTTTTAATTGAAGTTTCTTCAATTAAGAAAATTTAGAATAACTATATATCACCCGAAACTATTTCATAGTTTTTCACCGGCAGTGCAGTCTGAAAATTCATGGCTTCACTTCCATATGAGTATACTTGTTTCCCAATTAAGAAGAAGTGCGGCAAATTTATGCTTGCACTGCTTTTTGATCAAGCCAAATTTCGGCAATCAAAATCATAATTTTATCAATTTTTTCTTGTGTTACTAAATACCTTGAGGCTTTTGGTAGATATTTTATCTTCAGCTTTTTGTAAAGCTTCGGGGGTTTAGGGTTTAAAATTAGCAAATTGGCCATGCTTTGAGTCGCTTAGCATATTGGTAAGGCGTTCACTTCGAGATCGTCAGATCGCGTAAACGATCCCCTGCCCTGACAATGATAGTAGTAGAGGACGAGCTCTTACTTGAATTCTAGCTTCAATTCTACCACAGCCTGGCAGATTACGGCTGCAATAGTGACATCACGTGAAGAATCGAGAGGCAAGAAAAACGGCCTTGAGTCGCAAAAAAACAGCTTCGCTCTACAAAATAACTCAGTCTGAAATTTGGGGGAATCACCAGCGGATTTAGGGGGTTGGGGAGGGCGGACGCCCCCTTGCCCTCAGGAATTCGATCGCCTACCGACCCGAACGGTCACCCCTTTGTACTACCTTGAGATATCCATTTTGGCTGACTGACCCTAAAATTTTTCTAAAGGCGCACTTGGCGCTATTTTATACAAATTTTAAGGGGGGATTGCGCGCCTAAAAACGCTTTTCGGCCTGTTTTTAAAAAGATTTGCCTGTGGCGCAGAAAATTTGGTCAAAATAGGGTCTTCATAGTGATTTGGGAGAGCTCAGAAAATCAATTTGACCGACTTAAAAAAAAGGTCGACAAAATTTTCGATTTTTTTTTAAGTCCGCCCTCCCCTCGAGAAAATATTAGATTCGCCTCTGGGGGAAATAAGAGAAACGGACAGGTTGGATAGCCTAGACAGGTTGGATAGCCTTAGACAGGTTGGATAGCCTTTCATAGATCCTCTGCGAATCGCAGAACCCACAATCATTATTAATTATACTCTGTGAAAAGTTTATCTATAGGGCTGCAAGCGTACCGCAATTTTAACAGAAACATTCAAAATAGAAAATTGAGTCACACTTATTGTTCATAATAGTTTTGTGGTATTCAAATTTTCACGCTTGTGTGGCCTGGTTAAAAATTAATGGTTTTTGAATATTTTCCTTATCAACCGAATTCATTACCTATTAAGGGCAGTTGGAAAATTCAGGGCTTTGCAATGATATGCAAACAGTCATGTTTGTTCTTAGATTCTACTGCCGACGTTTCATTCGACTGTTTCCAGCGTCCGCCACCGTACTTAACGTCACAGCTCTACTCTTTCGCTTCACCGAACTTCCCAAATACGTCAAAATGCACCAGCGGTCTTTCATAGCTTCCGCTTTGTACTTCCAAAACTGGCACGGACTGAACGTAGAGCTGGATTATTTCACAGACGAAGGTTCAGATCAGAGCCCTGTTATCCATTTCTGGTCTCTCTCAATCGAGGAGCAATTCTACGCTGTTTTTCCTATTCTCCTGGTCGTTATTACATTCATTTGCAAAAAACGCATTTCCTTGTTGTTTCTATTTTTCGCCACTTGTTCGATTTTTTGTATTTTTCTGAACGTCAAGTTGTCCTTTAGTTCTCACATGGTGGCTTATTTTTCGACCTGGGGAAGACTCTATCAATTCACTTTGGGCTCTGTAATTTCAGCAACAATTCTGATGATTCCAAAAACAGGTTTTCTTGCCGAAAAACTACAAAACGAAGCTTACCAGACCTTTGCTGATTTTTTATCCTTGGGAACTTTATTCTGTCTATGCTGTATGGTTACTTTGGTGAAGGGAGGCTCGCCCATGTTTCTTGGAATTGGAACATCTCTACTGACATTCGCAATGATATTGTTTCTGGAAATATCTTCTCAAAATAACTTCATTAAGTCCTACGTTTACCACAATCCTTTTCTTTGTTTCGTGGGTAAACTGTCCTATCCCATGTACCTTGTGCATTTACCGCTTACCAAGATTGGAGATATAAACTCTCTATTACCAGAGGATGCCTTTTTCAGACCAATCACTGTTTTACTTTCAACAATCACGCTGTCTTTCTTGGTAAAAAAATCAATCGAAGAACCTGTAAGAAATTTATGCAGTAAATTTTCATCAAAACTAATTTTATTAGTTTTTTTGACACTGACAGTTATTCAACCTTTTCTTTTGAACCAAATTTTGAGATACTCTTTTGATGAACCTTTCAGTTTTTCATTTATAACGAAAGAAAATGAAAACCAGACAATAAAAATCAACAACCAAGACCCAGAACATCCAAATCTATGCGACTATTTAGCTGATGATATAAGTTTTCTACTTGTAGGTGACTCATATTGCTTATCATGGAACGATTGGTTCCAAGAACTACACTCTACGTGCGCTGTAAAAGCTGATTATGAATCTTTTTGCCATAATGGTTCGCCTTTCTTCTCGACTTATTACTGGGGTACGGAACATAAACAACTTACCGAAAAAGCAAAAAAAATAATCCAAATGATCCCTCGTAAGAGTATGGAATATATTCTAGCGAACAAACCAAACATCACAATTTACTTCGCTAGACAACTGCACATAGCAGAAATAAAAGTGACCGAAAACAGCACAGCAATGACTGCAACATCAAATTTGAACAAGTGGACAGAGATGATTCGCAGTGAAATTCCCAAATTGATCGAGAAAGTGATTCCTTTCACTACACCTGTTATTATGATTACACACCAGACATCTAAGCAAAACCCAACAGAATGCATTAAAAAGCTAGAAAACCAGCACAAGGACCTCTCTAATTTCACAAATGCATGTCCGATCACGATTTCAGAAGAGAGTGGTGTTCCTTTTTTGCGAGCATTTTATCAAGAACTATCCCATAAGTATCCCAAATTTCATTACATTGACATGGCGTCTCTGTTTATTGGAAGCAACGCTACGCGAGTAACACTGCCGGCAATTTTTGAAGGTGTTCCTGTCTTCAGAGACGGTGCTCATTTGTCCAATTTATACGTGAAGAAAATGTTGCCAGTTTTACTATCAGAACTGCGCCGCCAAAGGTTACTGTAGTAAAGACGAAATTATGTAATGCTTACATTTCTGAATCTGTTGTACTGCATTTTATGTATATATGGCGTAAGTAGAGACCAGAACCACCTCTACATATAAAGTTATTTTCGCTTAGTGTTAATTTGTACAATTTTAATTGAAAAAAATTGTCAAAAAATATTGTTTTTTTCCTTTGTCCTGATTGATAGGTACAAAAATTGCCATTTCACTTGTTTTTGTGCAGTGTGCGTACACCATTGTCTTCTTATGCTGGTTAAGAAAAAGGTATGTCTGTCTGGATGTATGTATGTATGTATGTATGTATGTATGTATGTATGTATGTATGTATGTATGTATGTATGTATGTATGTATGTATGTATGTATGTATGTAAGTGCTTTCATTACTGAATTTTTATCTACATATGCCTTTTTGTAATTACTGGAGCATTTTTAGATTTTTTCCTGAAAAAAAAATACAAAGAAAACATCGAGACCAATATTAGAATCTTCACTACGTTCATCGATTCTTAAAAATATAGCCAATCCAGTTAGAAAAGAGTAATGAACCCACGGAGACAGAAAAAAATGCCTTATTTTTTTTTTAAAAAAAACACTTCACCATTCGCATTTTGAAGAAAACAAATATCTGCCCTTAAAGCTCTATGAATTTCCCGAAAAAACTAACTTCCACTTCGCTAGAAAAACTGATAATTGAATTCCATTTTCGAAACAAGAAGTACAGTTTTCGGTTTTAAAGCACAGTTTTCGTGCCCTATACACTTTCGCTGATCTATAACGGAGTTTGTCTTCCTTTTAACAAAGGAAATGATCTAAACCTAAAAAGAACTCAAAAATTAAACCATTAAAATCAAAATTGAGCGTGAACAAGTTTTATTCACCAAGATATAAACAAGAGTACTCACTACGTTCATTACTCTAGCACGTTTCTGTTTTTAAAAAGAAATTTGAACAGATTTACTAACTTTTTGATATAGCCAAATCAAAATATTTAACACTGAGGCAAGCTTCGATTCGTAAACAATAGTGAGAACACGACAAGTCTTACGCAATTACAACTCAGCCATGGATCTTAATACATCACAAACACTAGCCAAAAATAAAGCAGAGAACAGATGCTATGAAATTTCCAATGCTACAGATCAGTAGCGGATTTAGGGGAAAGGGGGGGGGGGTTTGTCCGCCCCTTCCCCTCAGGGATTCGACCCCCTGCCGACCCAAAGGGTCCCCCTTTGTACTATTTTGAGATATCCATTTTTGGCTGACTGACCTTGAAATTTTCTAAAGGCGCCTTTGGCGCCAATGTATACTAATTTTAAGGGAGGATTGCTCGCCAAAAAAAATGCGATTTTTTGGTTGGCACTTTTTGAACGCTATTTTTGGCCTGTTTTTCAAAATTTTGCCTGCGGCGCAGAAATTTTGGCCAAAACAGGGCCTTTATAGTGGTTTGGGAGAGCTCAGAAAATCAATTTGGTCGTCCTAAAAAAAGTCGACAAAATTTTCAATTCTGTCGACTGAAAAAGTCGACTGAAATTTTTTTGAAATTCCCCCCCCCCCCCTCGAGAAATTCCTAGATCCGCGCCTGCACAGATAGTGAAAATTTTCAGAGATAGATAAAATCTATAGAACCATAGATTCTGTTGTCCTGCTATTGAGTCAGATAAATTAACTCTAGTCTTTATGATTCACTGCAATAAACCATTGCAGCGACAACTGATCATATAGGGTTATTTCAAAGTTACTGGCACATCGTCTCATTTCACTTGGATCTAGTGGTCAACAACTATCTAAGACCGGCTGTAGAAGAAAAATTAAATTGATAGAAAACTACAAGGCAAGTTACCCTAAAAACAATTACATTGCACAATGCCGATAATTATTCTTTACATATAAACGGAACTACTATAAAAACAAACAACTTTTATAAACCTACTGAGTCAAGAGATAGCACATATAAACAGATTGTAGAAAATTAACAGATTAACAATTCAATTAGAGTCTGAAAAGCTATGAGCGATTATTCTGAACAGAGTCCTTTTCCTCCATTATGTGCTTTCTGTTCTGCGTTTGTTGTCGTTAGAGTTTGCACTGTTATCGATCGGAGCCAGTGATGTGGGTACTATTCTGTACGTTATCAGGAACTCTGGGTACGCCTGCTCACCTCTGTATATCACATACTCTGTGTATGATAGACCTCCAGTCGAGGGACTCCCAGTGACAGAATGATGGCCGGGTGGAGCGTGAGCTACCTTCATTGGGTTCGGCTGCACGAATGATTTACCCAGAGTTGCTCGACAAAGAAGAAGGGTCCGGTTGCATACGTAGCATGATTTGTCTTTGTGGTTCTGGCACCCTGTTCCGCCACCTATTCCGTACACGTACTGGTTGCTCTTGCTGGATTCCTCGGCAAAATATATTCCAGCTCCGAACATACCTCCTACACAAAGCGTACAATTGATAACATCGAACATTATCATCAAATTCTTTTTTCATATAATAGTATTTGCAATGTTTCCGCAAATTAACGATAATATGGTGAAGATCACTTGCATATTTGGGTAGTTGCAAAAAAACTTTGTTTGGCAGTTTGTTTGGCAGTTTGTTACACTCAGTAACATCGACTCAACAGTAACTCATTATAGTGACTGAACAGTATTTCAATAACTTACCAATGAACGCGTGTCGCTCATCGAACCCTTTGTGGGCGATTGCATTCAAGAAAGGTGATCCATGAAATAAGAGACGTTCATTCACATCCACGTCACAGTCTCTCTGAAGGGTTGAAATAGATTGGTGTTGTTTAGACTGCACATTTGCTGATTGTCCACTTGAGTCCACCGCTATTTCGTCTCGTATTTCACGCCTTCTGTGAATGTACCTTCGCCACAGCTTCTTCGAGTGGATTCTCTCGATGTTAATGATGTTGTAGCTTTTGAACACGCCCCCACTCACATCTTTGTGCTCCCTTATTGTGCTGTGCATTGCGTTTGAAACTACCACAAAGTCCGGATCAACCGGATTGACATCCTCTAGGACTGAACAGGCTTCCTCAGAGGACATTGTGGCGATGATTGTGGATCCGTAGTCCTGTTTGAACTCGGATAGTTTCTTCAGACCCCTCGTCACTCGGTGACGGTGTCCAAAGGCTGTAATTCCGATCGACTTTAAGTCGTCTTGGGTCATGTCTATCAAAATGTCAATAGTGATTTCCTCTCTTTCGAAAATAGAAGTCAAATTCTCACAATTTGTGACCTTCAAAAACTCTTTTAATGTTATGCAAAATGGATTGAATGGTTCAAACGGGTTCTCGACCTCTTCGCTAGTAGAGTTCGAATCTGACAACCACTCTTTGGAGTGGGGTGAAAAAAGCATATTACGGTTTTCGACGGCTCCGCCGCAATCCTGCGATACTATATTGACTACTTTTGAAGCAGATCCTACAGCTTGTGAAATTAGTCTTTGCACTGAATTTTTGGTTTTCGTTTTCACGCCTAAATTATCGCGTGAACAGATGACCTTGGAGGGACTACTAGTTGAACAAATGATTGCAGGCATTATCAGCGGGGCACCTGTGACTGGGCAAACCCCATTCGAGTTTACATAAGGTTGCATACATAGTTTTTTCTTCGGCATTGCAGCTGCGCGTAGCAATGCGGTTACATCATGACCCTGTGCTATGTCCAGACAAGTCCTATTTTCATGGTCTTTTATATTTGGGTCTGCTCCATGTGACAGAAGAAGGGCGCAAATAGCCGTTCTGTTTTTGTAAGCTGCCTCGTGTAAGGCTGTGAACCCCCACCTATCTTGTGCATTGATATCTGCCCCGTACTGCAACAACAGTGCTGCAATTTCGGCATGGCCATACGAAGCTGCATTGTGCAAAGGTATCAAACCTCCTAAAACAATTTTTATTCAACACAATTGTAGAGAAAACAAGCTTGCTTGGCAAGTAATTTAAAGAGCCAGAGATTAGAACATAGCTAGAAAAGCAACAGATTTAATCATGATTTTTCAGTAAAATTTTAATAAGATTGCTCAATCTAGTTTTTTTTCTCAAAATCACCTATTGAGCAGTTCTTTGAAGTCATCATTGAGTTCAGAAGCCTAACTACTCAAATAATGCAGTTGGAGGATGATGTTATATTTACCTTTATCTTTGGCGTTGACGTCTGCGTTGTTCTCCAGCAGAAAGGTTGCAACCTCGACGTTATTATAGCCAGCCGCCAAATGCAAAGGAGTCGAATTCCTGCCTTCAGTGTCCCTGCAGTTTATGTTCTCACAGTTGACTAGCTTCGCCAGCCGACTCAACTCCCCCTTCTTAGCCGCATCTATGATTGCCTTATCCCCCAGCAGTAAATCGTAGATCTCCGGGTCCTCCCGCTCCCGAGCAAAGTCCAGAGGCGAGTTGCCGTCCCGGTTCTTCCGAAGAGAATCTCCACCAAAAGAGAGTAATAGCTTGCAGATGGAATACTTGCCTGTAAAGTAAAGTAGAAGTCAACGTTTATTTGTGGATGTGCAACTCATTTCTCAAGACCAAGTTGGCTTGATATAAATGGCTCATATGGATAACGAACATGCTTTAAGTCAGACCATGTCAGTAACTAAGCGTTTTTTGTATTTAAAATACCGCGAAACCGGAGATACTAAGGTAAGAACATGGTCAACTGACAGTTGCACGTTGTGACGGAAAGGCACCTTGTCATACACGTGTGTGGATGAACTCAAGAGCTCGGAAAAGTTCTCAAATTGAGAAACACTGTCGCAGCTGAGCTTCCACCATTTGCAATACAAACACATCTAGCATGGCAGTTAGCCGAACGAGACAAAAATCGAGTAAAAAATTTGAAGAAAAATGCCGGAAACACCGCCCAAATATTTCGCAGATTGTTTTTCGAGAACTGAATATGCCTAACTATTAGCAATTGATTTGAATTGAAATTTAAAAGAATAAAAAGGCAAACGGCAAAAAATCAAATTTGAGCGTCAACAATTTGTAACGCTTAAAAAACCAAGTCTCCTGTAAGAGGACTTAAGAATTGTCTTTCTTTTAAAAGCATATAAAACCTTGCCTATATTTTCAACAATGCAATCAAACTTTTTGAGCCATTTTCCATAATCAGCAGAACTAAACATTTCTTGGTATTGCGATCTATGCTGATTAAATACATTTATAGTAATCAATGAAAACACATTTCTTACCCTTCGCTGCAGCTTCATGCAGAGGAGTGAACTTCCACAAATCGCACGCATTTGGGTCAGCTCCATGCTGCAGCAACAATTCACACACCTCATAGTGACCATATGAACAGGCGTTATGCAGAGGCACAAGTCCTCCCCTGTCTTTGGCGTGCACATCCGCCCCCACTGTTGAGGAGAGGAGGAAACGGACTGCGTCTATCCTGTTGTAGCCTGCGGCGAAGTGCAGAGGAGTGGAGTGTCTACCTTCAACGTCCCGACAGTCTTTATTGCGAGGATGGCAGATGCGACGCAGTAGATCGACATCTCCTTTAAAATTATAAGAAAAACTAATGAAGATTTCAAAAATATATATATTTAATGCCTGATATAACAGATCTATTTTTATATGTCATTCCGTTACCTAGCCTGTTTGCCCATCCTAGGACCAAATTTTTGCTAAGTTTCATTATACCCATTTCATTGTTCTGACCTCTCGATGAAGTGCAGGAACTATATAACTGGATTAGGTTGGGATTATACCGGGATTTCAGGTAGCTCAAAAACCTCTCATAGTTATTGAGTGTGGTATCAAAGTAGAACACCCACTTTTTAGAAAAAAACTATGGACACAGAGGCGAAGCTGGGCGTCGCAAATACTAGCGAGAACACGAGAAAAATCAGCTCTATACATTGCAATAAGAAAAAGTAGAAATAAACCTTGAAATCGCAAAAACTCGGCTACGTCACGAATTCGATCTGCGATCTAGAGATCATGAGTCTCGCATATTAACCACTCAGCCACGGACACCTAATTAATCGCAAACACTAGCCACATATAAAGCACAGAACAGATTCTATGAAATTTCCAGTGCCACAGATCGTGATTATAGCAGAAGTGCCACCAAACAATGAACACTTTTATTTAGCTAGGTTAGGAAAAAAAGAAGGTTCGTACTGATACACTAACGATCGCAAGCTCGCAAGTGTAAAAAACTTCTTAATGAAGTCTATCGCTAAACTCCTGATAACTTTTCTATGCAATTGGCATACCTGTTTTGGATGCCTCCAAGAGCTGCCTGTTGATCTCTTTGCTACAAGTCAGTGACTCCTCTTGCATCAACTGTTGCATCTTCTTGTCTCTCACCATCTGCACACTTGTCTTTCCCTGTTGAAAAAACTAAATGTTTGTAATGCTTTGATCACCTTCAGCGTGGGAAAACTTTCAACAACTGTTGAAATGTCTGGCATATTTTAAAAATTCAGCTCATTTCTCAAAAATGTCAATTCTATGGATAATTCTGAAACCTATATCGGTTCATTAATTTGGATGCTTAAAACCTAAAAATTATCTCATCTTGAATAATTGTCACTATAACTCAGTTAATGGAAATGAAAACTATAAAATGTTATCATTTTTAAGCTGCAGCGAAGACTGACCTGTAGAGACAGTATGGTTGGATCCGCTCCATGGGCTAACAGACTCCGCCACACCTGATGGTTGCCTGACCTCGCTGCCCTGTGTAAAGCTGAGTGGCCGAACTGGTCCAACGCATTCTTCACTCGCACGCTCTTCTCACTCACTTTCATTATACTCTCAACCACTGCAACATTGTTCTCGTCGGCCGCAATGTGAAACACGGTCAGCATGTCTTTATTCTTAGCATTCACGTCCGCTCCTTTTTTTACAAGAAAATCCGTCACTGCCGACAGTTTTTTCTTGCTCGAGCAGCTCGACTGAGCTACACAGTGTAAGGCAGTATTGAGTGTGAGCAAATGAGAGAACGAAGCTAGCGGTTCTCTTTGGTTTGTACTATTTTCCGAGTCTAATGAGACCAGTTTCTTCAAGGAGGCCAGATCACAGTTTTTAGCGGCGTTTAATAACGCATAACCGCGATGCTTCCTTAACATTTTATCTCCCAAATCCACGCTAATAGCACAATCAGCAGCACATTGACCGTTACAGTTCTGGGAAGTGGGATCTGCGCCGTGAGCCAATAACAATTCACAAATATCCTCGCGGCCCTTCTGGGCAGCCTCGTGCAGGGGCGTGAATTGCCACAGGTCTGGGGCGTTGACATGGGCTCCATATTGCAGCAGCAGCTCTGTGACTTCCAGGTGGCCATAGGAACATGCATTGTGGAGAGGCACTAGGCCACCTCTATCCTTTGCATGCACGTTTGCTCCATTAGACAACAGGAGTTGAACAACCTAAAACCAACTTGGTGTCACATATCATGGCCCAAATATTATGATCTTTTTCAACGTACTCAAACTATATTAAATAATAAGAAAATAATAAGTAAAATTTTGACGTAAAAGTTGCGTTTTTATGCGCGCACTCCCCTTCAAAATTAGTTCAAAAATTTCAAAGTTGGTCGGCCAAATTGGATGTCATAAAATACTATTCTTTAGTTGGATGTAATTAAATAATTGGATGTCACAAAGGGGTTCTGCATCAAAAATAATACATCAAAAAACATCGAGGATTGGAAAAGAGTAATGCACGCAAGTTAACATAAAAAACTGACTTTGTTGAAAAAAAACTCAACTTTCGAATTTCAAAGAAAAAAATAGATGCCCTTTAAGCTCTCTGAGTTTCTAGAACGATTTATGATTGGGGCTTTTTTGATAAATTAACCCAACTTGAGAAAACTGAATCAACAGGTTAAGTTTTTATTCCACTAGAAATCCAAAAATTAAATTCCGCTTTCGAAACTAGACATCGTTCACGTTTTTTGAGCCATTTCCACGTTCGTATTTGGAGAGCGCTATTTACGTCACTTTCAGCAGATGAATTTCAATTGAACTCAAAAAGTGCATATATACCTTAGTGCATTCATAAATGCATCAATATGTATGAATGCACATTTGTAGTTATTAGAGAATTTTATGCACATTTTAAGGCTTTTTCCTGAAAAAAAAAACAAAAAAAGACCAGCAAGACCTATCTAAGAGTCTTCACAAGGTTCATTACTCTAAAAAAATCATTCATCGTTCATTCAACTATTTCAAGACTCCGAACCTCGGCTGGGAGGACTTTAATATGATACTAGACTTGCCCCCGCACGAAATTTCATTGCGGAGATCAAAATCAGAAAAAAAAACACATTAGTTCTTTTCCTCTTCATGAAGTAGTCGAATAAATTACCTTGATGCGATTGTATCCTGCAGCTAGATGAAGAGGTGTGCTTTTGCGACCATCGCAGGCGTGAACATTCACATTCAGAGGAGTCAGAAGAGACAGCTGGGTGAGCTCATCTCCCGCTCGAGCAGCCTCCAATAGTTCAGCCTGAAAGATATGCAAACCACGTCATACAGTGTAGATATAATTACTAAAAGCCATTTTAGCAATCAAGCCATTAAAAATTTTGTCACAATAAAAAATAGTGAAATTTCCATAAAACATCCTCACTTTACGGTATTGGCCGGACAATACCAATGCTGCATCGCCCACTGCTACGTCTATGGGAGTGTTTCCATCTGTGTTTCGCATTGTCGGGTCTGCTCCATTTTGCAGAAGATTGATACAGATGTCCACTTTGTTCTTGCTAGCAGCCTCGTGCAGAGGCGTGAAACCCCATTGGTCCTGTAAAACGCTTAACCATAACAATGTCTATTTTATGATCCATTTAAGCTGGCAACTCAATCAGATGCTGAAAAGACGGCTGAATTGGCTTTCAGCTCCATAGTTCATATCGATAGAGCTACAACCAGCAACGGTCGTTACGTCATTCTTTGGCCATAATAAAAAATACCTGGGCGTTTGGAGATGCCCCTTTCTGCAGCAAGAGCTTCACGACTTCCAGATGCCCGAAAGAGGCAGCGTTGTGGAGGGGAACCAAACGACTCTCATCCGTAGCATCTACACTCACCATTCCTGAATGAAAGAGAACTAAATTAGTATTGTTTCCATATTGTGATGTTGTCGATTCTAGTGTGGTCCCTAATAAAAAACTACATGAACGCTAAACATGTATGTACACAGAGGCGAAGCAGCTCTATGGGCTTCAAAAAGCAGCTCTATAAAGTGCAATAATAAAAACTAGTAATAAGCCTCGGATTAATAAAAACAGAATCGGCAGCGTCTCGGATTCGAACCTACTGATTATGAGTCTCACACGCTAACCACTCAGCCACGTATGTTTAATTAATCGCAAATACGAGCCACAATAAAGCAGAGAACAGGTGCTAAGCAATTTCCAATGCTACAGTGAAAGTTCCATATATGTCAATACTTTTAATTAACATTTTCATGTACGAGTTAGGTTAGATAAAAAGAAGGTTCGTACTAATACAGTAACGCACGCAAGTGTAACTATCAATGCATGCGGTCTTCGAACTAACTTACGGCCTAGCTAGTCAAGTGACTGCCAGTCGGGTAAGCGCCAAGTAGGCTCAAAATTGAATCACAGCTATCCATTAATTTTGCTTCTTTCGATCAAAATAGTAGAATGTAGCCAGCAGATGGTTGGAGAGCTTGAAAACTCAGGAAACCAAAAACACTTGCGATTGAAAACTTTTCAACATTTTTCACCATTCGAATTTCAAAGAAAAGAAAAGAGATCACGTTTAAGCTGTTTAAATTTCATAAGCATTGAAAACTTGATAATGATAAAACTAGATAATTTTGTTATTTCGCTGGAAACTAGCATTAGAACACGTTTTTCGTTTTTTACATTTTTGCTGTTGGATAGTGGAGTATGGGAATGAACTGCAAAAGGGAATGAACTGAACTTAAAACTTAGGGAATGAACTTTAAAAAAATCAGGAGTCAAACCGCGAAAAATCTATTTTGAGCTTAAGCAAATTTGAAGACTCTTCACTTCGTTCTTTCACATTTGAAAAATGAACCAACCTTATAAAATAGTTTTGTCAAGGGAACAAACAAATAAACTAGTACCCTGTTTTCTATCAAGTTGACGATGTTACAACATTTACTGTAAAATGCACAATCCTGGTGATAAAACGTTACGCTGCAAAAGTTTTTTTTAGCACGTTTTGAAGCAAGTGTTGCTTGTATTTGCGTGATAAAAATATTGTCCCGCCTATTGAAAGTAGAGTGGAAATTTGTCTTCAGGTTTTTTTTTAACTTTTTTTAAAGCAAAACCAAGTACCACGAATAATATTTCCACCAACCTCACGCACACATTTTAAATTTGGTTTTCAAAAACCAATTAAGAATTTGAAAATTGTCTCTAAATTCGAGCAAAACATGCGAGCTTATGAGCGATTAAAAGCATGCTTATAACAGGTCAATGCACTTTAAAAGTCGCGAAAGCTGAGTTTTTAAGGACCTTATAAAAAAGGTGCCTAATAATTAGTGATTGCATCTTGTGAACTACTGAGTTTAGTCTATTCTATCAAGTGTGGCGTGTTCTGAAATAATTCAGCTATATGAAAGCGCACTCGTTTTTACTGAGAAGTATTTAGTAGCAGGGGTCAAGACGATTTTGTCTTCGAATCGTGGTAATTCAGGATTTTCTCAAAAGGAGTTTCATCTGATTATTGAATTACTATCTGTTGACTATATATGTCAACAAAAGTAGATAAAGCACCAGACAAGGACGTAAACATTTATGATAAAATATTGACAGCAAATATTTATAAGGTTAAAAGAGACAAATAGCTTTGAGGTTATATGAGTAATTATGGCTATAGGCCGTCACACTACCCGACTTCGGGAAGCTTTTCGGCTCGTTTATTTGTGATCCACTATTTTCTTCAAGCAAGGTTTTCGAATTTTATATATAAAAATTACGTTATTTGAGATAAGAGTTTTCGGAATGATGAGTTTCAACTAGACTGTGCTCAACGAACGTATTCTCTGTTGTGAGGGGAAAGGTCTGTGTATATAGTGGAGACAGCATTGTAGCATGTACAGAGAAGAGTTGTTTATGTAGCATAGAGGAAGACATAGCAGAAGAAAATGATTTTAGTATCAGTAGTAGCGATTATTTGGATAATTTTTAGCACGTAGATTTAGGAGAGCTTGAAACAGACGTAGTATCAAGGTAGAAAGTAGAGTGTGAAGGTGAAATAAGAGAACTTAGTAGATTTAGAGCAGAAAAAAACATAAGATAGAGTAGTTCTGTTAAAGAATATTTGTCGCTCTATACTTTTGTCTTTTACCCTTCAGCTAGCATGATGTCATCTTCTGCAGGTGCATGTTGTTAACCATTTGTTTCTTTTTAGATTAAATGTTTGAATTTATTTTCATTTTTGTTTCACAGCTGTCATCGGATCTTCTTCCAAAAGTGGAGGTTGACTCGATGAAGTCTGATTGGTCGCGGCATGCTGTTGCCAGGAGGAGTTTGCTGCGCTTCTCCTCGTCAGCGGACGAAGTTTGTGCACTGGCTTCCCAGACGAGGAATCAGATAGAGGGGAGATTTGGCTGTGGTCGGGTCTTCTTCAAGGAACATTTCCTCAGACGGTTCGACTGGAGTCGATCTAGCCTCCCGATGCCTGGCTGGACAAGGGTTACGTGGAAAAGGTTGGTCCAGGTATGGCACCGATGGAATTGTTGCATGACCCAGTTGTGTTGTACAACAATGGGCCAGCATGGACGACGTTCCATATGGATCGCAAGCAGCCTCTTCGGACCCTTGGCCAGCTGTATTCTGGCACGAAAGTCTCGTTCATTGTCTGGAAGGGCCAGTTAGTGCGTGACCTGTGCAACCGTTCGACCCCCCCCCCCGTCGTTGCAGAGGTGGTGTCAGCGCTTGAGAGATGAAGGGTTGCCACATGGTGTCGAGTGTGTCGTGCAACGTCCTGGTGACGTCGTGTACTTGCCTTCAGGTGCCGCTCATTCTGTTTTGAGTGATCCTGGGTGGACCTGAAGGTTGTCATGGCAGATCCCGGGGACACACTTTGTGGAGGCCAAAGCTGAGGCCTACATGAATTCTGCTGTGGGTGGGCGAAAACGGACAAAACAGAAGGGCCACGAAGCCCTTGTTTGGCAGAAAAACAAAAAGGAAGACCGCACCTGGATCGTGATTCAAGTTTAAAATTTGAAGAACATTCCTACATTATGAGTGTGGCGTAACGAAGGGTGTAAAATTGATCCACATTAAGAAGCAGCAGTTGTGTGAGTCTCGTGACTCTGGTTTAGACAGATTGAGACCAAGTCGGGACTCTTTGCAAACTCAAGGAGTAAAAAAAATTGCGAATATTGCAAGACAACGTTTTAGAGGTCTTGTATTGTAATACTAGCATTGTATACTCGCTGCAGGCACAAGCCAAAAAACCTGCGAGATTTGAAGTTAAATTGACATTTGCAAGATTTTTCTTCTAAAATAAAAGTTGTTCAACTTCATTATCTTAGTATACACAATGAAGCAGGTATAAGCGGTTCCCCTCCCTCTGGTATTAAGTCATATGATTGGTTGAATCAAAGTGAAAGTAAAAGCTCAGCTACGTCAAGTTGACTTGGTCCGCTTTCAAAACGTTTTAAGCTTTGGCGAGAAACCACTGATCCGCGTCAACCCGGACACAACGAACCACGTACCACGATTTCCTTACCAAGAACCACTAACTATGAGTAATACCAACGACCAGTACGATCTACGAAGCTTCGCGAACAAGTAAGGCGATGCACAGTCAGCTGCGAACGAGCAACGTGAACGAGCAGAGCGATCAACCAGCTGTTGCGAGCGTGCAACATGGACGACACGATCAGTCAGGACGAACGTACCTGAAGTTGGTTCACGTACCAGAAATGGTCACAAGACGTGCCTTACCAAGCATAGGGATCGGATAAACGTAGTCCGATCGACCTATCCAGTGACTGATCTTGCGGGCTTGCGAATCTTTCTTGCTGTCATAGGAGAGACCCTCACATCGATCAGTGGAAAGCATCGATTGCTAGAGGATGCTATACCAGACGAACGCCTGCAAGCCGAGCAGAGGTACGAGGATTCATTCAGCAGACGAATGATTTCTTGGAACATCAGCCAGCGTCTTCCAGAGGAACGACAGAAGCGAATGGGCTTCATACAGTGTTCTCACCAAGATCAAGTCAGATCAAGTTGCCTAAGACCGATCTTACCTTTTTCTGTGGGAAGTATACGGAGTGGACGAGCTTTATCGAGCAGTTCGATTCTGCAGTACATTGAAACCCAAACCACCGAAATGCTTAGAAGTTGAACTACCTCAACTCTTCACTTCGAGAAGCACACGATCTAGTCAAGAACGTGCATTAACAGATGTGAATTACGAGCTGGCAAGGAGGACTCTAATGGAACGATTCGACAACAAGAGGTTCATTGTGAGCATGCACCTCAGTGCTATGTTGAGCTACCCGAATCTGAAAACTGAAGATGAAACAGAAGCGTCATGTCTTTTGGTAGTGGCTTAGCTATTTCCACTAGGGATTCTATCTTTCCAACTTCAGGTCCCTGTACAAGTTTTTCACGTAGGTTGCGCAATAAAGCTATTGAGGCTGTCGTTTTTGTGATATATGCTGGTAATTTTTCTATTTCTGGGACTGTTCCGATAAGGTGTTGGAGTGGGTCTGGTAGTTTCACGTTGATTTTTACAGCCGGCATGTCTCTGCAAGTTGCCGCGTCTGATCGCAGCTTGATGTGTGGACCTATTATCTGCATTCCACAATGTAGGGTTTCGATACAAATTTGACAGCCTGGAAATATTTGTCCAAATCCTGTGATTGATGTATCTATTGAGGTTTCGCGGAGAGAGTATTTACTGTTTGCTGCTGACATGAGCCAAACTCCAAATCTAGGTTTTCCGCCGTTTTGGTTGAGGGTGGCAAATATTCTTCTGTATCGCATACTTTGATAGCGTCGATCCAAGTTTTAAAGAACGGAGTTGGTAAGCAAGAGAAGTGTCCATGTTCTGTTGCCATTGACTCGTGGCATATCT